CTGCGCAGGCGCGGGGCCGCTCCCCGGCATCACGTGACGCCGGGGATGGGTGGTGTTCTGCTGCCGCCATGATGAGAAGGTCAAGCCCTCGCTCCATGGCGCAGTCCTGGGGCCGCCATTTCTCGGTGTTGCTGCCGCCATGTTGGGGAGGTCGGCGCTGAGGCGAAGGTGCCAGGGCGGGTCCCGCTCCTTGTCCCGCTCCCTCCTGGTTTCCCTCCCTCACCCACAGCCCCGGGAGGCACGGCTGGGGCACGGGGACCCGCTCTGCCTGCAGCGGTGCCCCTCAGCACCTGCTGCAGCCCCACCATGTCCCTGCGTTTCCCTCAGGGAGCTGGAGCCTGTGAGGGCTCAGCAGGAAGGTGGGGTGTGACCCGTTCCTGGAGGGCTGTGGTGCCTCTCTTCCCATGGAGGTGAGGAAAAGAGGGAGTGGAGCCCATTCCATGGGGCAGCATCCCTGTGCGGGGCTGTGCTTTGGCATCGGATGTGGCTGGCGGGTTGTGTGGGGACATTATTCTCATATACGTGTTGAATAAACATAATCACTGCCGCCCTTCCCACAGAGCCACATCCCGCATGGAGGAGCCTGCTCAGCCTGTGCCCGTGCCCTGACCGAGGGGATGCTCCAGAAGCCTCACGGAGAGCCTGGATTGCCGGGGAGAAACCACGGGATGTGTCCCAGGTGCTTTGTGGAGGGCTGGGGTAACCTGGGGGGAGCCGTGGGGTTTGTCCTCCAGCAGGTGAGAACTCTTGGGTTGTGACACAGCCATCACTGCTGCGATTCCAATGGATCCCACCGACATTTTTGGGATGCTCGGGGTCAAACATGGCTGGGAAGGGGATTTCTTACAGCAGGATGGAAGGAAACGTCCAAGAGAACGCCGCTGGAAGGGATCGAGCCAACCATGCCAGGCACAAACTCGGCTCCTGTTACCTTCTGGAAAAATCCCAGAGGATGGGCAGACACAGCCCCAGGCTGCTTCAAGTTTTCCTCCATGGGCAGCATTCCCAAAGAGAGAAAACGCCATCTCTCGCCCCACTGAGCTGCCAAAAAGAGCTGAAATCCAAGGATTTAATGCTCCCAAAGCACTGCACAACCCCCAGATCCTCTCCAACATTTCCACCTTGGATGAACAGCCCCCCAAAATCCACCTGGAGGGGTGTCCGGGGGTTTCCTGCCCAGATTTTGGGCTTAGCAGAGGAGTGGGAGACTCAGGGTGAGGGCAGACCACAGGGATCAGGAATTATTTTAGCTGGAGGTTTATTGTGATATTTTTTAGGAGTATAGTCGCCATCTGCCGGCAAACTCTGGCTCTTGGGTGGGAATTTGGGGGAAAAGTTAAGGATTTAAGGGCAGGTTCTGTAGCTCCCTGTGTGAAAATTTGGGTTTTATTAGGATTAGGACAGTTAATTTTTGAGCAAGGAAGAGGAAATGTTAATCCCACCCAAAAACTTTTGTATGGCTCAGAGCTCAAAACATTGGAGTGGTGAATATCTTGGATATGAATGAGAAAGGTTTAAGAAATTACGGGATCTTGGGGAATTTTTGATGTTTCTGAAGGCTGGAGCTTATCCTTGTGCTCTGAAAGAGCAGCTTTGGGCTTAAATAGAGAGGCAGAAATTGGAGGATGGACACCTGGATTTCTGCAGGAGGGACCAGAGGTTGGATTGGTGGCTGAAATAGCCTAAATTTGGGGAGAGATTTGTCCAATAACCCAAAACTGGGGGAAGATGCCTCAAAATTAAGAGGAAACAACCTAAAACTAAGAGAAGAGACACAAAAATCACGGGAAAACAAAACTATAGAAAAACAAACAAAAAAAAATACTCCAAAATTAAGAGAAAACACCACAAAACCAAGGAAAAACACCTCAAAATTAAGGGAAAACTCCTCACAATTGTGGGAATACACACAACAATTAAAGGCAAAGACGTCAAAACGAAAACACGCCCAAACGAAGGGAAAACAGCTCAAAATTTAAGTAAAAAGCCTCAACAGCGAAACACCTGCCCTGAGCCTGGTCCTCCGGGCCGCCAGGGGGCGC